TTTGGCTGCGGCGGAGATTATGGTTGTATGGGCTATTCAAGGACCAACTTCTTTTGCTCCAAACGCTTTGGTTTCTCAGTCTTCTCTTGAGTTACGTCTCGATGCTTGTGGTCACTCACTCTCTATTCTCCAATCGCCTTGTTCATTGGTAATCTATTGATTCATGGTATAAAAATGTGATTTTTAGTGTTTATCAAGTTCAGTTTTGTGCTTTTGTGGAGACCCTTTTGATGTATTGACACTGAGAGTTTGGAGAAGATAAAAGTGCTTGTTTAAATGTCTATAGTGGTTACCATCAAACTTTCATTGGGATGATGTTATAGAATTATACTTTTTGTACTGATCATGAGACTTGATAGAAGTATCTGATGTGTGTTTGTTGTATATGTGAAGAGCACGCCCGGAGTAACCGGGTCAGTGATGTGGGACAGTGGAGTGGTGTTAGGGAAGTTTTTAGAGCATTCTGTTGATTCTAAGGATCTTTCTCTTGAAGGCAAGAAAATCGTCGAGTTGGGTTCTGGTTGTGGCTTAGTTGGGTAAGCATAAACCGCGGTTTTCTTTCTCCTCCGTGAATATTACCACTAACTCCGAGGACATTTAGTTAGTTTGTTCTTCCAGTTGTATTGCAGCACTTTTGGGAGGCAATGTTGTCCTCACTGATCTTCCGGATAGACTGAGGCTACTCAAGAAGAACATCCAAACCAATTTGCACCGTGGGAACATGCGTGGATCTGCTATCGTGGAGGAACTTGTTTGGGGAGATGACCCAGATCCAGATTTGATCGAACCATTCCCTGATTACGGTAATTCATCTTGTTTTCATTTCATACCCTTTGCTTTGTACACACCATTCTCACACCTTTGATTTGCAATGCACTTGTAGTGTTAGGCTCAGATGTTATATACAGCGAAGAAGCTGTTCACCATTTGGTAAAAACGCTTCTGCAACTTTGCGGTGATCAAACTACAATCTTCCTATCAGGAGAACTACGGAATGGTGAATCATTCTCTCTGTGTTGCTTTCACACATCTTATATATATCAAGAACACATGTGTATATGTCTAATTTTGCTTCCTCCTTTTGCCAGATGCTGTTCTTGAGTATTTCTTAGAATCTGCGATGAAAGATTTTGCGATCGGGCGTGTGGAACAAACACAGTGGCATCCAGATTATCTCAGCCGACGAGTAGTGCTTTACGTGCTTGAGAAGAAGTCGAAGAGATGCCTCGCTGATGACTCTTCGCTTAATCAATCTTGTTAGCCATCGAGGTTTGTTTGTTTACAGTGTATGATAGTGTCCAAAGGAAATTGAAATAAATGGAACTAAGCAAGACAGACTTATGTATTATGTTTCAAACAGAATCAACAGCAAAAAATGGCTAGCATTGAGATTTCTTCTAAGTGTGTTGCAATGGAGTCGAATAAACATGATATAAAATGTTCTAAGAAATAGTAAGTCAATCGAATATCTAAGCTTGAATTAAATGGATGCTACCAAAGCTTTAAAAATCCCTTACCATTTTCTTCCTTGACTTTCATGAAATGATCGAGAGAGGTCCGAATCATACGAATAAGGACAATGAAATGATTGAGACGCTTCGTCTGAATCGAAGGTATGATCAAGAGACAAAATTAGGATCCGATGAGCTTAGTTATTGTTGGGAGATCAACCAAGTTCTTATTTTTTTATGTAAAGAACTTATTTTATTATGCTTGCGAAAAGTGCAGACAATTATCTAGTAATTTTGTATTATTTATGTTAACATCACTATACACGTTTAAGGATCGGTCATGAAGCCAGAATTGATAGATAGAGAGAGATTAAATAGGCAACTTTTTATGGGTTTTTTTAGTATAAAGATCCAATAATTGTCTCTAAAGGCATTGACTTTGAGAAACTGAAAATCGAAAATGGCTAGCTACTCTGTTTCCTCTGTTCTGAAATGGCTGGTTCTTGTTCTTCAACTAGTTGTCTTGTTGAATCAGCATGGTGCTGATTCTGCTTCTATCATCAAGTTTCTTCCTGGTTTTGATGGGCCCCTTCCCTTTGAGCTCGAAACCGGGTTTGTTTTCTCTTCTTGTGATTCGATCAAATCCGTTTTCTGAGTTTTGAATTAATCTAAAAGTATATTGTGAATGAAGGTATATTGGTGTTGGTGAGGAAGAGGAAGTGCAATCTTTCTACTACTTCATCAAGTCTGAGAGGAACCCGAAAGAAGATCCTCTTGTTCTCTGGCTAAGTGGAGGACCTGGATGCTCTTCCATCTCTGGCCTTCTTTACGAGAATGGTGAAATTGAAAAACATTCGTAAACTCTCTTATGCGTCTTTGATTACTCGTTTTAATTCTATATATGTATATAAATAAGTAGGGCCTTTGACTATGAAGCTTGATTTTTACAATGGAACTCTTCCTTCCTTGGTCTCTACTACATATTCATGGACAAAGGTAACAAAAAGAAAGGTGTGTTTATTCATATGACGACCACAAAACCGAATGATCAAGTCTTTGATTATTTTTCTCAGACTTCAAGCATTATATTTTTGGATCAGCCTGTTGGAACTGGCTTCTCCTACTCAAGAACTCATCTTTCTAATAAACCGAGTGATTCAGGAGAAGCCAAAAGGATCCATGAGTTTCTACAAAAGGTAAAAGAACAAAGTTAAACTGTCTCTTGAAGCAATTGTACTTTGTGCATTGACATTTAGGAGCCTTTTTCTTTTGTTGTTGTTGTGCAGTGGCTAGGCAAGCATCAAGAGTTTTCCTCCAACCCTTTCTATGTCGCCGGAGATTCTTATTCCGGTATGGTTGTTCCGGCTACTGTTCAAGAAATCTCGAAAGGTATTTTAATGCTTTTATGATATCAATCTCCCAACCTTAATTTCTCAATCAATTATTATAACAAAAGAAACATGTTTAATATACAGGAAATTATGAATGCTGCAATCCTCCAATAAATCTTCAGGTTCATATCAGTATTTCTTGCTTTTTTATATAATAAGATATTTATATGATTAAATCTAATTTGTTTCTTCCTTCATGTGAAAAGTGTTGAACAACATGTATACTATTTACCTTGCAAAAAGCATTAATATGTGATAGTTTTAGTCCTTGGTACACTGACAAAACAACAGGGCTATTTGCTCGGTAACCCGTTAACAGAACCTGAAACTGATTTTGACTACGCCATTCCATATGCTCATGGAATGGCACTGATCTCTGATGAGCTCTACGAGGTGCGAAACATCAAATACATTTGCTTTTGTTTTCTTGTCCCTACAATGAAAATCAAATATTTGTTCTTTTGGCAGTCGCTGAAGAGAATATGCAAAGGAAAATATGAAAATGTTGATCCACGTAACACAGAATGTTTGAAACTCGTTGAAGAATATCATAAGGTACACATATACTCGCAGAAATTTTAGTTGAATGTTGTGTCTGCTTAGTAATAATCATCACTAATTTCAGACTTTCTGTGGCTATTGTTTAGTGTATAGATGGACTAACCCCATATATTATATCCTTACCAGTGTGCGAAACTGATGGTCCAAGTTGCTATGTAAGTAACAATCCCTCTTGCCTCTCTATTAACCGTTAAACCATTGAGATACTATATACATATTTATAGAAGGTTGATTTTGTAGACTTATCGGTATTCGCTAGCTAGCTACTGGGCCAACGACGAAACTGTACGCAAAGCTCTTGGAATCAGTGAGGTATAATGGCAATTTAGTTTAAGATTTATGGTAAAGAAATAATGTCAATTTAAGAGGATCTATGATTGCAGGAGAGTATAGGGGAATGGGTACGATGTGATCACGATCGTCCTTACACTAAAGACATTAAAAGTAGTGTACCTTACCATATGAATAACAGCATCAATGGCTATCGTTCTCTCATCTTCAGGTCAGAGTTTTTCAACCTTTTCTTGATCTACATTCCCCTACCAAGATTCTCAAGACTTTGGTAAAATTGTTGCGCGGTTTTTGGTGAACAGTGGTGATCACGATCTGTCACTACCTTACCTTGGAACTCAAGCCTGGATAAGATCTCTCAACTATTCTATTATTGATGATTGGAGGCCATGGATGATAAAAAATCAAATCGCTGGGTATATACCGATCTTTTTTCTTCGTTTTATCGTACTCACCTCGAAAATACTCTCGACTCTTCTTCTCTTTTCACAGATATACAAGAACTTATGCCAACAAAATGACGTTTGCTACTATCAAAGCAAGTCTTTCCTCTTCTTTTTTCTCATACACTTAAACATTTTTACCGCGGTTGTAGCTTGGATTTTCTTAATTAAGTTGTGTGTGTTTTTATTACAGGGAGGTGGACACACACCAGAGTATAAACCAGATGAGAGCTTTGTCATGTTTCAAAGGTGGATCAATGGCCAACCTCTGTAAAAGAGGAGTGTGATTCTAGTATTCGTATTGAAGTGTGTACATAAGAAGGCTTGGCCTTAAGTTTTGCATTTCAAGTTTGGTACATTTGCATTTCACTTCTTTTCTGGAAAACAAAAACAAAAAAACAGTGCGGCAAAATTAATTGAAATTCAAAACAATCTAGACATGCTTTTCTGCAAACAATAATGTTAAGTTTGATTTAAAAATCCTTTACCATTTGAATCCAGAGCAACTAAGTATAGCGTACATAAAATATTGGTAATCGATTTGATTGATTGTTGTAGTGATTTCTCTGGCTGAATCCTTCCTTGCATATTCATAACTGTATAGATCCCAACTCCTTGCAACTCGCTCGGTAAAGCTATCTTACGGTTCCTTTTCTTGCTTGACGGTACACTTTCTTGACTAACAAAACCCCTCCCTGGATAGCTCACTGGCCCATGGTTTCAAGCAACACTTTCCTTGTGTTGAAAGAACAGGCCGGAAGGTTTGATCCGGATTTTGTTCCGATCAAGGAATATTTTCATTCGATATCTATATGTGTCAAAAGGCTAGTAGTCTTTCAGAGAGTAGTTTTTAGTGTATAATAATAATGTCAAAAGGAAATTGAAATAGATGGAACTAAGCGAGACGGACTTATGTATTACGTTCCAAACAGAATCAGCAGCAAAAAATTAATGGCTAGCATTGAGATTTATAAGTGTGTTGCAATTGAGGCAAATACACATGATATTATACTATGTTTTAACAAATACCAAGTAAAATCGAATATCTAGCACCTTAAGCTTGAATTAAATGGATGATATCAACGATTAAAAAACCCCCTACCATGCGAGTCAATGGCTTTGTTTGGTTGTTGTACTGATTTCTCTAGCTGGATCTTCCCTTCCATGTTTGTATGCAAGTTAACGTATTTTCCAAATATCAAAAACCAGTTTTCTTCCTCGACTTTCATGAAATGATCGAGAGACTTGGTCCGAATCATACGAATAATGTGACAATGAAATGATTGAGACGTATGATCAATAGACAAAATTAGTATTCGATTATTGTTGGAAGATCAACCAAGATCTTATTTTTTATGTAAAGAACTTATTTTATTATGCTCGCGAAAAGCGCGGACAATTATCTAGTAATTTTGTATTATACACGGTTTTAAGGATCGGTCTTGAAGCCAAAAAGCTGATAGATAGGGAGATTAAATAGGCAACTTTATATGTTTTTTTTTAGTATAGAGATCCAATAGTTGTCCTTAAAGGCATTGACTTCGAGAAACCTGAAAAACGAAATGGGGAACGACTCTGTTTCCTCTGTTCTGAAATGGCCGCTTCTTGTTCTTCAACTAGTTGTCTTCTTGAATCAGCATAGTGCTGATGCTGCTTCTATCATCAAGTTTCTTCCTGGTTTTGATGGCCCTCTTCCCTTTGAGCTCGAAACCGGGTTTGTTGTCTCTTCTTGTGATTCGATCAAATCCGTTTTCTGAGTTGATCTAAAAGTGTATTGTGAATGAAGGTATATTGGTGTTGGTGAGGAAGAGGAAGTGAAATCGTTCTACTACTTCATCAAGTCTGAGAGGAACCCAAAAGAAGACCCTCTTATTCTCTGGCTAAGTGGAGGACCTGGCTGCTCTTCAATCTCTGGCCTTCTTTTTGAGAATGGTGAAATCGCAAAACATTCATAATCGTTCTTATGCGTCTTTGATTAAGCCTTTTGATTCTATATATATATAAGCAGGGCCTCTGACTATGAAGCTTGATGTTTACAATGGAACTCTCCCTTCTTTAGTCTCTACTACATATTCATGGACAAAGGTAACAAAAGAAAAGTGTGTTTATTCATTTGACGACCACAAAACCGAATGATCAAGTCTTTGATTATTCTTCTCAGACTGCGAGCATAATATACTTGGATCAGCCTGTTGGAACTGGCTTCTCCTACTCAAGAACTCATCTTTTTAATAAACCTAGTGATTCAGGAGAAGCCAAAAGGATCCATGAGTTTCTACAAAAGGTAAAAAAATCAATGTTAATTGAAGCAACTGTTCTTTGTGCATTGACATTTAAGATCTTCTTTTGTTGTTTGTGCAGTGGCTAGGCAAGCATCAAGAGTTTTCCTCCAACCCTTTCTATGTCGGCGGAGATTCTTATTCCGGTATGGTTGTTCCAGCTACTGTTCAAGAAATCTCGAAAGGTATTTTAATGGTGGTATGAGATCAACCCTTGTTTTTCTCAATCAATTATGATAACAAAAGAAACATGTTTAATATACAGGTAATTATCAATGCTGCAATCCTCCAATAAATCTTCAGGTCTTCTTTGTTTCTTCATTCACAGTGTTGAAACAACATGTATACTATTTAACCTTGCAAAAAGCATTAAAATGTCCCCACAATGAAAATTCAATATTTAATTTGTTCGTTTGGCAGGCGCTGAAGAGAAACTGCAAAGGAAAATATGAAAATGTTGATCCGCGTAACACAGAATGTTTGAAATTGGTTGAAGAATATCATAAGGTACAC